GCTGCTGCTCCTCCTCTTCGCGCAGCTCGCCCTGACCGCGCTGGCCCAGGATGAGACGGGTAAGCACCGCTCCGGTGGTATTCACGGAACCCAGTCAGCAACCTGTGCGTCCGTCGCACCTCCCTTCCGCCCCCCTCCCCGCATGCTTACAAACTCTCCAGCGATCGGTTCTTTTACAGATCGTTTTCGCACTCGCTGCCGTTCCCCAAATCCAACGTCGCAACACCACTTGAAGTTGACGGGGCTCGATGATGAAGACCTCCAGAGAGAGGAAAAAACTCACGACCGTTTGGGCTGGCGCAGGCAAATTCGAGAGTTTGTTCTACGTGTGTTTTGAGACCAGAATTTTAGGTGTGATGCAGGCTACGCGATGTTGATGGACTCAGTTGTATATGTACGAAGAGACTGCTTTGTGTTCGGTTTAGTTGTATGTTTGCTGAACAAGCAAAATACAAGTTAACTTGCGCTAACGACGGGACCAACATCAGGAGATGGTAGGAAATGCAGATGCTGGAGAATCTGAGATAACAAGGGTCTGGACCCTTCTTCAGATGAAGATGAAGAAGGGTCTAGGCCCGAAACGTCAGCTTTCCTGCTCCTCTGATGCTGCTTGGCCTGCTGTGTTCATCCAGCTCTACACCTTGTTATCTCGGACCAACATCAGCAGTTGCGATATGTCCACCGTGACTTGTTAGGATTGAAGATAACGTACACGTGGAACAAGTTCGTGCGCTTAAGCATTTGATTTTAGTATGAAATATTCTTAGCATCTGACTGGTTTCAACGTTGTACTAAATAAAAAAAATCTGTGGATGCAGGAAATCTGAAATAAGAACAGAAGATGCTGCAGGAACTCAGCGGGTCTGGCAATATCTGTGGCGAGAAAGCAGATAACATTTCTCGTCCAGCGACTCCTCAGAACTGATTGTAGCTGGGGAAAGGTTGGTATGCTTGCGGAGCATGGGGTGAAGGGGAGGAATAAACGTCTGGAGATGGAGCCCATAGAGGGAACAGCAGCACTTGAGCAGACAAAAGAATGAGTAAAGATCAGTCTGGGAGAATTAGTAGCTGCTAACGGGGGCCATTAGTGGCTGACGGTTGGTTGTGGCATCAGCTGATGTGATGAAAAGGCCTAGTATTTGCGGTTTGGGGGGTGAAGGACATGGAGGAACGTGATCGGACCCTTTGTATTTTTTCAACTCTTTGCAAATGGTTATCTTGATTCGGCAGTGTTCAAGATCAGAGCTAGGTAGTCTGGTCAAATCAAAGGTAATTAAAATTCTGGAGAGCCCCTTGGATGTAGTGGTTAAAGATGTTGGCTCCCTTTCAGGAATCTGGTCTTAAGAAAAAAGAACCAAAGTCTGCAGATGCTGGAAATCAGAAATGAGAACATAAATTGCTAGAAAATCTCAGAAGGGTAACTGGACCTGAAATATTAATTCTGCTTTCTCTCTATAGCTGATGCTGCCTGGCTTGCTGTGTTCCTCCAGCTCCACACTGTGTTAACTGGGATTTCTTAAATTTGCTTTTCAAAACAATTATTTTGTGCTTTTAACAAGCAAAGTTCATGCGTGCACAGTGAGAAATTGTTATCAAGGAGTTGACAGGTGACAAGCAGCAAAAAGTATGAGTAAACAAAGAAATTGCTAGAGAAATTCAACAGGTCTGTCAGCATCTGTAGAGAAAAAAGTTCAAGTCCAGTGCTTCAGAATTGTGTATTAATGTGACATTGGCTATCTTGTGCAGAGGGTAAACAATTGGTAATAGGAATGTGTCCTGTTTTTTGAGAATATTTTGGTCCCTTTTCTTTAAAAGTTGAGGTAAGGAATGTTTTATACACATTTGCTGACATTTTTGAATGTAGGCATTGTACTTTGGAAATGGATTGTTAAAAGTAAAACAAATTGCCAATAGATCACTAAAAAGCTTAACATCCAAATGAACAGATTGGACACATGTAAAAGCTGGAAAATGCCACATACAGAATTGTGGATCTGGATATCTGAAACAAAAGCAAATTGCTGAAGATACTTAGCAGGTCAAGCAATGTCTGTGGAGAGAAAGCAAGAGTCAGATCCAGTAAGCTATCTTCAGCAATTTCTGTTTTTGTCTGACTTCTGTTTTTGAATTCCTTTCTGAGATTTGATGGCCACAGAATAGTGGAAAATCTTCAGACTAGATTTCAAATTTAGATGATAAACTGTTGGGGCTTCTGCTATTTTAAACTTCTCAGTTTTTTTTGTCCAAACTGTACCAGAGACAGTGCTGCTTTCAGCTCCAAGCTCTAATTTTTACTGGCAGACAGGTTCTGCAAAGGTGTAGTATTCTCCAGCAACTGCACAAAGCTTTTAAGTATACTTAAAAAAAACTGTCTATTACTTCAGTGTAAAGGCTGCTGTTAGGTGACAGTAGTTGAGATCCATCAAAGTCCCTTTTTTTTTTGTAAATAGGTGAACCATAGTGTTCTCAGCCTTTTTGGACACTCCAGTTTCAAGCAAACGTTAAATCCTTTGCTGCTCATTCATGTCTAATCTTGTCCATGTTCTCATTTGCATAATTCATAAATATATGCATTTTTCAACACTCATTCAATGACGAATACAGGAAGGAGGGGATGCCAAATGCACAACCATGCATACCTAAAAATGAGGCGTCAATCTAGTAATGCTGCAGCACAGGATTACATGCATGCCATATAATGGTTGCAGTATGCAATTGATCAAGTTTTGTAATCCCAAAACCAACAGATTGAAGTTTTACAGTCCTGCCACATTCAACCTTGAATGTTGGTGGGCAATTAAACAACTAGCAGATTAGAAATACTGAAATACCTCCACTTCCAACAATTCAAGAGACAGATGCATCTCTGCAACAGATGAGACCAAATCCTTTGTATCCATCTTCAGCCAGGAGTGGCACATATGATCAATTTATAACTCCTCCTGAATTTCTAGCTAGGTGCTAATCTTCAACCAATCCGTTTCACCCCACATGATGCCAACAAATGCCTGAAGGCACTGAGTATGGCAAAGTCTGGAGACCGTGATAATGATCCAGTGGAAGTTCTGAAGACTTAATATTCCAGAACGAGCTGCACCCAGCCAAATTACTCCATACAGATACAATACTGCCATCTACCTGACAATGTGGCAAATTGGACAAGAATACCAGGGCAATCAAGCAGAACAAATCCAACCTTGCCACCCTATCATTCTACACTTGACAATGAGCAAACTAATAGATGTCAACAGTATTATCAAGCAGTACATGCAAAAGAATAATCTACTTGCTGATGTTCAGTTTGGGTTGCACAAGTATGTTCCAGTCCCTTACAGATTTGGTCCAGTGGACAAAAGAGCTGAAAACTTTGAAGTGAGAATGACAGGCTTGGACATCAAGACAGCAGTTGACCAAGTATGGTGTCAGAACTCCATGTAAAACTAGTCAATGTGAATCATAGGATTCTAACCAATGGAGAGTTTTCTATTAAGCACAAAGAGAGATTGTGTGGTTGTTGGAGGGTAATCGGCTCTGCTCTAGGATATCTGTGCAGAAGTTCCTCGTTAGTGTCTGAGGCCCATGCATGCTAAACTGGTTCATCAATGATCTTTCCTCCATCATGAGGTCAGAAGTGGGAATGTTTTCCATCTGCAGCAAACAATGTTCAGCATCATTCATGACTTCTCAGACTGAAGCAGCCCATGTGCATATGCAGCAAAAAACTGGATAACATCTGGGCTTGGGCTGAAGTGGCAGTAGCACTTGACAGTGATCATCTCCAACAATCTGACCATCCTTTTTTTTTTTTGATGTTCAGTGGGATTACCATTCAAGAATTTCCCCCACTGCCAATGGCTGGGTGCTACCATTGATCAGAAAATGAGCTGGACCAGCCATACGTACGTGCATTGCCTACAAAAGCAAGTTGCAGAGTAAGAATTCTGCAACTCCCCTCCTGTCTCCACTGTACGTGCCTACCATTTACAAGGCTCAAGCCTGGAGTAAGATGTAATGCTTTCCATTTGTGCCTGGATAAGTGCAGCTCCTATAATCCTTCCATTCAGACACCCAATCCAAAACCTTCGATGTTCACTCACTCTGCTGCTAGTATGCAATAGCAGAAGTATGTACCATCTATGTGATGCAGTACAATAACTCTCCAAGCTGCTGTCAGCACCACCATCTTCAAGTTCATTTCAAATCCCATGCCACATGGACTTAGAACAGTAGTGCTGTTTCTTTGCTGTCTCTGGGCCAAAGTCCCTGGAACTCTCTGACCAATTTGGACTACAGGATTTCAAGCAGTAGCTCACCTCTTCTCCAGGACGATTGGGAATGGACAATAAAGCCAGTGATACCTATGTCTCACGAATGAATAATTTTTACAAAACTTTGCCTCCTAGTGCAGCACTACGGATGCCTGTAGATTTAATGATCTTTTGCGATTATACAAAAGTTCTAACCAGCGCACAATCAATACCACTGAAGTGCTCATTGGCCAGCACTGATTAATGTACAAAGTTCAAAAATATACAGAGGCAGCAGTTACTTGCAAAGAACTCAGCCAGTACATTTCTTTTAGTGAATGTACAAGTTAATCTCTTGCTAAACACTTTGCCAGTGTTGACCTTCAAATAGAGTTATACAACATTTGGAGAATGTGGTAGGAATAGCGCATGATAATGCAGGCTGAGTAGCAAATTGGTATTGATTTACATGTGATGTGGTATGTCACCTTTGGAGTATTTGCTTTTATCTACTTGTAGTTGTCTGGTATGGTTAAACATAGCATTTGCCTATCTTTAATTCCACTTGCTGGCTGTAGTGAATCACCATTTTTAAACTTCTGCAGTCCACATGGTGAAGATATTCCTACAATGCCATTAGGTCAAAATCCTGAACTCTTTACCCAGTAACAACGAAGAGAGAGCGATGTTAAAGCAAGTTATTTTTTGACTTTGTTTACGTGCACCTGCTGTTATTGCCCTTTTGTAAGTGATTGAGTTTAGGAAGGTCATGTAGAAATGACTTCTAGTGAGTTGTGCAGGTGAGTGTATCCTTATCAGGAGCCAATCTTCTGTTGTTCTAGGTCTGACTAATGCATAGAGACTTTTCCCCTTGGTTTTCCATTGATCTCAATTTTCACTGTCTATGCCATTTAAAGCCTGTAACTAACTACTTTGCCAGAGTGCATATTTAAAGTTTTGGCAAAGATCTGTAGCTCGGTGTATGAGGTTGTTGACTTGCTCATTGAGCTGGCTTGTTTTTGTTCAGACGTTTTGTCACCATGTTAGGTGACATCATCTAGCATAGCAACGAAACATCTCTGGGTGCATATTTTTTCCTAACCCTGGTGTTTTTGCTCTAGATATTCATATGCATTTTGTTTCTCTGTGTTGTCAGATAAGTGAACTGGGATAACTTGACCAGGGAAATGTCTAATTCTGGAACACAAGTCTTCAGCACTGTCAGGTTGAGATCAGGGTTGATGGTTTTAGTTTATCCAGAAAGTTTTGTCATGTAAATGGAATAGGTGGAACCCCAGATTGTGATGTTGGAGAGGTTGAGATAATGACAAATCATCCAGTCAGCACTTTTGACTGAAGTTGTGAATGTTTTCTGCCTTGGCCTTTGCAAATGTTTGAGGGTGGACATGTTTATGGAGCTACCTCCTAATTCATTAATTGTCCCACTGCCATTCCCAGTTACCAGAATATATCGGGACTGGAAAGTAAGCTAAGACCATATAACGGAGAAAAGTAGGGCATTCAGCTATAGTCTGCTCTGCCATTCAATGAGATTCATGATTGATAATCTCGTTTTACTTTCCTACCTTATCCCTTAACCTTTGATTTCCTTACTAACTAAAAGTGTCCATCTCAGCCTTGAATATACTTAACCATCTAACTCAGCAGCCCTCTGTGATTTTTAAAAAAAAAAAATCCAGAAATTCACTACCCTCCAAGAAATTCCTCCTCATCTGTCCTAAATGTGCAACCTCTTGTTTGGAATTAAGCCCTCTAGTCCTAGATTCTCCCACAAGGGGCAGGAACATTTTCACATCTACCCTGTTAAGTTCCCCAAGATTCTTGTATTCTTCTATGAAGTCACCTGTCATGCATTCTATTGAAATGGCAATAAGTACAGGCCTGTCTACTCAACCTCTCCTCGTAAGACACCCTCCATACCTGGTGTCAGTCTAGTGAATATGCCCTGAACTGCTTTCAGTGCCAGTATATCTTTCCTGTTTAGGAATTCAACTGTATTCCCAGTGTTAGAGCTGTGGCCTGACTAATGCCTTGTATTAGATTACATACAGATGTGTGTCATATGTAGCAAAACTTCCCTACTTTTAATATTCAGTTCTCTTTGAAATAAAGGCCAACATTCAATTTGCTTTCCCAATAACCTGCTGAACTTAGATACTAGCTTTTTGTGCTTCATTGACAAAGACGCCCAAATCTCTCTTCCATTGATCTATTGATCTGTTCATCGATCTCCCCAAGCTGTGGTTGCGGTTCACTGAGATCACAAGTCAAGATTTTTAAGAATGTAAGCTTTGCGGCAGCAATGCTTAGTTTTGTTTTGTTTTCTTTTCTTTTAAAAAAAATCAGAATCTCAACTGCTTCAGCACCACCTGTACTGCCTAGGAGTTAAACTAAGGTATGTGCTGTGCCGTGAACCTACAGATTATATGTCGGAATGCAAACTACTGATGGCCTGAAAGGCATACTGAATGCCCAGATTTGAATTGCTGACCTTGAGCTGATCATGCCTAAATCAGGTGCTACTGTGTTAAAAACCAAAAGAACTACAGGTGCTGTAAATCAAACAAACAGAAATTACTGGAAAAGCTCAGCAGCTCTGGCAGCATCTGTGGAGAGAAATCAGAGTTAAAGTTTCGGGTCAAGTGTCCCTTCCTCAGGGTTGTTCTTAGGAAGGGTCCCTTGATCTGAAACATTAACTCTGATTTCTCTCCACAGATGCTGCTGAGCATTTCCAGCCAACTTCTGTTCTTGTGCTACTGAGTTATTCTTGGTAATGGGTGTTTACTCCCCAGGCACCCTTCGCCTTAATGTTTATCATTTTGTCCTGGCATATCGGAGATGCATTCTCAGAAATCACATTTTGCTGGAAGATATGATGCTGAGTGTACGTCTGTTGGAATGGTAACTTGTGGAGTAGTTATCTTTTGGAATGGGTCCTTTTAATATTTGTGAGCAGGACTTCTAGACGGACTGACGAGACCAGATGTGCTTTCTGTTGTGTTTGTTGCCTTGACTTTTCTTGAGGCCTGTATCTTTTCTTGTATAGAGCTACAAGCTTGTAGCTCGTGTGATTTGCTATTGCATTGAGTGCAGTTAAGATTCAGTCACTATTGCAGTATGTCTGAATTACGTAGTCCAAACTGGGTTATAATAGTAGGTTTTCTGAGCTGAAGGAAATTTAGCCAAATTTTGCAGTGATCTGATTTTGGAGTTTTAAAATTGAATTCAAACTTCCTGTCTGCAGTAGTGGGTTTTGAATCTGTCATCTTGTTTACTGGTTCTGTGTAACATTTTCACGATGCCACCATATTTGTCAGCGGGAGTCTAAACTGGGAAAACTTCAGTTTGGAAATGGAAGGAAGAGTAATAGCTCCTACAACCCATTGACCCTGCATTGCCATTCCATAAGATCTTGGCTAATGTGGTTGTGGCTTTGGCTTCACTTTCCTGCCTGGTGCCATAATGCTTGATTTTCCTTGTAGATCAAAAATCTATCTCCTTGCTTATTTCCATAGAATCCTTACAGTGTGGAACAAGCCATTTGGTTAAACAAGCCTGCACTGACCCTTCAAAGAGCGATCCAGCCCCCTACCCTTTCCCTGTAACCCTACTTTTCCCATGGCTAACGCACCTAACCTACACATCCCTGAACACTATGGACAATTTAGCATGGCCAATCCACCTAACTTGCCCATCTTTAGACAGTGGGAGGAACCGGAGCATCCAGTGGAAACCCACACAGACACGAGAAGAACGTGCAAACTCTACACAGATGTTGCCTAAGGCTGGAATTGAACCTGGGTCACTGCTAATGTGAGGCAGCGGTGCTAACCACTGAGCCACCGTGCCACCCTGCTTTTTTTTTGAAGTATGGAATTATAAATGACCCACTTGGAGAAGATGTTGTCTTTCTGTCTCTATCTCAAATGGCAGATTCCTTTTTTAGTTTTAAACTGTCCCATAACTTTAGATTCCCCCACCCCTCAATGCGAAATTCACCATGTTCGATCACTCTTATCTGAAAGACCCTTCTTACTATTGAAGTCCTATATCATTGAACATAGCCATGTATGATACCACTTCTAAAATGGGCAGTTCTTTGATTCCAGGACACTATTCTAAGGAACCTGTCCAAATACACTCTGAACTTGCCCACTAAGATTTTCTTTTACATCTTTCTTTCATCCAATCTACTTTGAAGACAAAAATCGTCCATGACTATTCCTGTTTAAAAACTCAAACTGTTCAAACACTTTTTCCTTTTAAAGCAATCCTTTCATTCAACAATTTGAGGATTATAGGGACTAGAGGTCAGGCTGCAGTTTGATCAACTATGATTTTAATGAACGGCAGAGCAGACTCTGTTGAATAGCCTGCTCCACTTGTAAATGTTCTTGCCACTTATTTAACCTGTTTATCCTATTTGCACACTGTTCACAACTAGTTTTTCTACCTGTTTTGCCTTTGTCAGTAGATTTGGTTACTTTGTATTCGGTCCCTTTTTAGGACTGATATACAGGAACTGTAGTAGGCTGTTCAGTCCCTCACGCCTGCTCCACCATTCAGTGGGACGATGCAACGTTCCTCATGTCCACTTTCCTGCTGGTCCTCCTCGTCCTCGTCGTCTTGTGCTCTCTCACTCTTTTTCATTCTTTCTGTCTCCACCCCGGTAACCTGTGATTCCCTTATTGATCAAGATTCTATCTATCTCTGTGGAAATGTAGAACAGTAGTTGGGCCTCTACGTTAAATTCCTAATCTACCAGATACCCCAGCAAAAGTACTTTGCATATGATCTCATATCAGTTTTCATGTTACTTACAGAAAGCTCAACAGATAAATATTTATTCCTGTATCTCTAGACAGTCATTGCTTAAAAGCTATGATTGAATTTGCTCTAGTTCCGGTTCCTGTTTGTTGTAATAACCTGTTTGACTTATCCTACCCAATTGACCATCCAATCCCCTATTTCAAACTTGTATTACTTTAAAGTGGTTGAGGATTAGCTGTATTGCAAAAAGTTGAGACCTAAAAGCAGTAAGTAGCAAATTGATTTATACAGCAGTCACTTGATTGTGGGTATTAACGTTTACCATCTACTCTTACAGTGGACTAAATTTTTCTTGAACTAATTCTCCCTCACCCTCTCTCAGTCATGCCTATGATTTCATCGTACAGCAAGCTCTTTAACTGACATCTATGGGTCAGGAGTTTGATGGTTGATGAAGAGGTCTGCGTATTCAGTGTAAAAACACACACTAATAAATGTAAAGCAGGGGTTATCCACATCACAGTTATGATTTATTAATGACTTGTGCTATAAATAAAGTAACTTTGCCTTAAATAAAACCTACAGGCAGAGAGTTTTCTGACTCGCACCTTTAACTGACTCGTCTAACATTGTCGAGATCGGGATAATACAATAACCTTGTGTTTTAAGGTATATCATTTTTGCTGGTTACCGATGAGCACTGGTTCGTAAGGTGCCAGTTAAGACAAAGTTTCAGGATCATTAAGTACAATAGCATGTATTTGAAAACAGTAGTTAATGACTAGCAATTTTTATTTAAATATTCAGATTGATCATTATTTTAGGCAAAAAGCAGGGAAATATTTAAAACGCCTATTTAGTATCCTTGCTTTTTACTGTTCCTAGAATCTGATGGAGAAGGAGATGGTGATAGTGATGAGGAAGAGGAGGACGACGATGAAGAGGACGAAGATGATTCTGTCAAGGAAGAAAATGGCGTTTGGATTTTGACGGATGCAAATTATGATTCCTTTATTGCAGACAAGGAAATTGTGCTAATTGAATTTCATGCCCCTTGGTATGTAATACTTTAATGAAATTCATGATTATTAATGCAAAGAGATGAGTGAGCCTTTGACCAGAAAGTTAGTTCAAGAATTATTCAACACAGGACATTTATTAAAGAAGTGAGGGTCTAGGCCTGAAACATCAGCTTTCCTGCTCCTCTGATGCTGCTTGGCCTGCTGTGTTCATCCAGCTCTACACCTTGTTATCTCTACATTATTCAGCCCATTGTGTTTGTGCCTTCTCTCTGATACAGATATCTCGTTAGTTCCACTTACTCTGCTCCTTGCCTATAGCACTTGTAAATGGTTTCTTTTGGTCATTACTATTGAATCCATTTTTCTGACAGTTTGATCAATATACTCAGTAGTTTTTCAGTCGACATTCTTCTTTCAGCCCTGTGATTAGGCAGTTAAAAGCACAGATTCCTTGTAGAAGCATGTTGTGATGACAGAAGGGCAAGACCCAGTATTAAATATGCCTGCAAACAGTGTTCTGAAAAGATCAAGAAAGAGGGTTTAACTGGTGCTGGTGAAAAAGGATATCTGAGGGTTCAAGGGCAGAAATCCAATTGGCTAGAGCTAAAGAACAAAACAGTTATGTTGCTGGATATAGTCTATATACCACCAACTGGTGGGGGAAAATGTAGAGGAAAAAATCTGCAGGAAAATTAGCTGCTAACGTTTATACACTTGTAATTAGGGACTTCTAATTATCCAAATACAGGCTGAAGATATTGATAGTGAGGGGCAAATGTTCCTAGGTTGCTGTAGGAAATTATTCTGTAAACGTTGTGTCCCGACCAACATGAAAGGATGCATTCTTCGGCGTGGCTGTTAGAAATGAGGTGTCAAGTGTAATGCAGGAACGTTTTAGGGCACGGTGGTCGTTATATCATAGGGTTTAGAATGACACTGGAGAATGAACTGACTTTTCTTACTCTGGAATAACCATTGTCAGAGTGCTGTTTTCAATGGGGCAAGATCAGAATTGAGCAGGTAAAAGGAGAAATAGTGCTGATTAGGGACCAAAAAGGGGATTTTCAAATGGATGCAGGGAACGTGATTAAAATATTAAATTTAATACTTCCAAAGGAAGTAAATGCTCTCCAGGCCATGATAACAAGAGGAAATCGTCACTAGAGTTCAAATTGAAGTATCAAACTGTTGGTACTTAAAGTTGACAAGGCATAGGGGCCAGATGAAATGCATCTAAGGGGGGGAAAGAGGGAAATTACAGGGCACTGACTGTAATCTTGCGGTCTTCCATAAACTAGGGAGGTTCTAGAAGACTGGAGAATTGGAAGCATACTTTAGTTCAATAGAGATTGTAAAGATAAGCTCAGTAGTTGAGTGGTCATTTTAACATCAGTGGTGGGGAAGCTTCTGGAAACAATTATTCAGGATAGAATTCATGGTTGCATGGAAGAAGGTGATTTGAGAGCAAGTATGCATCTCTAGAGAAATCATGTTTGACTAACTTGGAGGTTTTTTGGAACAGGTAACAAGGATTGACGGTAAGTCTGTGGTGTATATGGACTTTCAAAAGGCTTTCAGTACAGTGCTACACAACAGGATTGTGTGAACTCTTGTAGCTCATGGAATAAAAGGGGCAATAGAAACCTCAGCAATGGTCAGTCGGGGTTTTTGGACTGCAGGAAGGTTTATTGTGTAATTCACCAGGATTTGATATTGAGACCTTGCTTTTCCTACAGTACGCCATTTCAGAATTGCAAATGTTACTGAAACTTGGAAGCATCATAAACTATGAGGAAGCAGGACTTGCTCAAGTTGGAGTGGGCAGATAGGTGGCAGATGAAGCTCAATGCAGTGTGGTGAGATGCTGCATTTTGATATTTGTAAAGATCACTTTTCTTCTAATTTTGGACCGAAATGGTAAAATAACTGGTTTAAAAAACAAGTATTGCTACATTTTTTTTAAAAGCAAATCGCTTTTGCCAGTATCTAATAGGTCTGAAATGATGCTCGGTTATCGGTGGCAAAGGCCTTCTGCCTGCCAACAATTGTGATTGATTGGTTTTTCCAGGTAGCTGGATAGCTTGTGGATGTGAATGCTTGTTTGAGGAAGAGTCTTGGGGGCGAGGGGGTGTGTGCTGGAAAGCATCTGCAGCCTAAAAACAGGCTGTTTATTTCCTCTTTTATCAGTAGCTGTACAGTATGACTTTTAATTAAGTCAGAGCCCTTTTATTATGAACTAATAATCCTCTGCTTCTTGAAATCAAATACAAGAACCTGGAGCTGGAAGATCGAAGTCAGAATCAGCGAAAAGGTTATCTCTGCAAGTGCTGTGGACGGGAGCCATCAAACTCCACAATGATTTCCTCTGTCCGTGGCACCCATTTTTATTGCCTATCTGTCTGTACGTATGTGTACGTGTAGGGGAGTTTCCTAAGTTGGTTAGTGTTTTAACTGATATAGTTATGGTTCATAATTGTTATCTGTAGTTACAGATGATACTGACAAATAGTACCTTTTTAGTACAGAAACCTGGTCTGAGTTTTATCAACCAGAGTCCAAAAGACAGGTAGATTGAAAAATTTTGCATACTTTTAAAAACTTAACTCTGTGACAACTCCAAGAAGAGCAGTGCTTGATTTTACAACATGGTATCCAGGAATAGGAAGAATGTGGACAGACTAAATAAACTAGTGCATGCAGGAGCAGACAGACCTAGGTCTATACTTGCATGGTGCTTTGAAGATGGCAGGACAAGTGAAGAGAGCAGTTAATAAAGAACAGAGTATACTGGGCTTTATTAATAATAAGAGCAAGAAAGTGACAATGAACTTGTATTAGACACTTATACTCTCATTGAGGTCTAATATGTACAGTCTGAGTGGTACACTATGGGAACTATGTGAACACATTGAAGAGAGTGCAAAAGAAATTTAAGGGAATGGTTCCAAGGATGAAAAACTTCAATTATGAGGATAGATTGGTTTTCCTTGCAGCAAAGAAGGCTAGGAGAATATGCGATAGAACCTTCAACATCAGAAGAGGCCAGATAGGTTAGATCGAGAGACTGTTCCTGCTCACAAAAAAAAAAGTAGTTGAGGGAGCGCAGGTTTATATTGATTTGTAAAGAAGCAAACTTAATGAATGTGGTTTAAATGTGAAATGCACTTCCTGAAAGTGTGTTGGAGACAAGTTCTTTTGAACGTCTCAAGATGTCATTGGATAATTGTTTCTGTTTACATGTGCAAGGCTATGGAAAAAGGCAGAAGAATGGCACAAGTTATGCTGCTGACTTGGAGAGCTGATGGATCTGATGGCCTCCTGAGCCATGACATATTTGTGATTCTGTAACTTTGCACACTTCTAATAAATCTCCCATATCGTGTTTGCTCTAATCAGCGCATCTCTCGTGTCAGAATAGAAAAGGTCCATAACCGTTGTACCCTTTACGATAAATTTCTTTGACATGCATTTATAGGCTTTGACATCCTTTCTGAAATAGTATATTATATTCTGAGGGATAACCAGTGATCTGTAAAGTTTACTTAGATTCCTATTGTATTCTGAACTGTTTACAAAATGTAGAACGTCAAGGCTTTTTGACAGCTGTATCAACTTGACACACCACCTTCTCACACTGTTTGTGTATTTGTGCTACCAGGTTTCTATTCCTAAACCCCATTTTAAAATTTAACCAGTTCCCCCTATTAAAATGTATTAGGTCACACTTCTCTGCATTAAATTTTGCCACCTCCTTGGTGGGTTTTTATAAAAATGGCTTTTCTGTGTAATTAGTGAAGCTTGAAATTGATATTAGAAAATAAATTGTTTAGGAAAGAATTTTTAAACTGTTTTGAGGCTTCAACTGATCCATGGCTCAGTGGGTAGCTTTGCAGACTGAGTCAAAACATCATGGTTCAACACTCACTCTGCAAAGACTCCAACACAAACATCTAGACTGCCTCTTCCAGTGCAGTACTGAGGAAGTGCTGCATGAAGGGCTGCCGTGTTTCAGATGAAACACAGAACCATATGTGAGAAATCTCATAGTACTAGTTGAAAAACAAAGTTTGTTCCAGATTTCTTGGCCTATGTGTATCCCTTGATCACAAATAAAACAGATTATCTTGTCAGTATCACTTTTTTTCAGCTTGCTGTGTATAAGTTGCATTTCCTACATTACAATAGCGTCTACACTCTAAACATACTTATTAGGCTGTGTAACACTGGGGCACCCAAGTTCTAAAAGATGCTATGTAAAAGGCAGTTTTCAGAACTGATATTTCAAAATATCACTTTGGAATGTTCTATGTATATATTGAATTTTGCAAAGATACCTTGCTTATGATATGACATTAATCTCTTGAAGTCTTCAAACATTTGTCCTGTAGGTGTGAACAATGTAAGCAGTTTGCGGCAGCATACGAAAAGATTGCTAGTGAACTAAAAGAACATGATCCTCCTATCCATGTTGCCAAAGTTGATGGCTCATCACAATCTGGCCTGGGCGTTCGGTTTGATATTGGTATATACCCCACATTCAAAATTATAAAAAATGGAGAACCAATTCACTACAAAGGACAAGTCTCGAAGGATGGTAAGTAAAATTTTTTTTACTCGCTTTTTCTGAGTAGATATTGAGGATTTTAATGAGTGGATCGAATTTTTTTGCAATGGGCTTAATCCTTCATAGATTGATTAACCAAATTTATCCTAGAATTTAACTGTGCAATTGCTGTAGCCTTGCTTGCTTTGTTCACTGTGACAAAGCAATGGTTTTGGTACTGTGCATCTCTGAACGATGCTTTATGGTCTCGAGGAATTTGATATCATTTTGTGTTGTAAATCTTTGCGATGTTGCCCAAAGTATCTGTTATAAAGTGCTACTGTTTTCCAAGCAGAGAGGTTTACATTTTATTGATATTTTAAACGTCTCAGCCAGTTGGATGAGGGATGATAACTCTCAGGAAATCCTGCAGGTTGATCACCGTAATCTGAGCATGTCACACCCAAATACATGAGTTCTACAAATGTTAGTGTGTTTGTTTATAAACGTTGACTCTCCAGTAGTTAGTTTTTTGCTTGTGTCCTGCCAGCAGTTATTATGCATAAATTTAAAGAACCAGATGTCATTTCATCCACCGGAAGGGTTGATTCATACAATCTTTCATGTTAGAATGATTCAGCATGGCCATTCAGTCCATGTCTACTCTGGCTCTCCAGTAGAGCTGTCCAATTCTGCTGACTTGTTTTTACCCCAGTTGTTTTGCTTTTGTTTTGAAATTGATGCTTTTTATCCAGTTCCCTTATGATTATTGCCATTTAATCTGCTTCCAACATGCTTTATTGCAGTCCATCCTAAACTCGTCAACTCCTGTGCTTATTTTAGAAAGCTTCCTTACATTGTCTAATTATTTTACAGATTTTTAATTTTTCTGAATGAAAGGATGGGGGAGTAGCAGAAAAATAGTCATTGCTGTGACCATATTGCTCATACTTCCAAATGATTGTATTGGCTAAATGGGATATGTGGTCTGTTCCTTACTCTTGTGTTTTTACCAGTCACCTTAAATATTTCTCTTCTGGTTATGATTTTTTATGGCCCAGTAAACAACTTATTTACTCCACAAGATTACTTAATAATTTTTGTTTGCCCAATCAAATCATCTTCCTTTTAAGGCTGGTGAATCCTTGGACTATACGCTGGTTGGAGTCAGACCTGGCAGATAGGAAGTGGTTGTTGGTCAGGTCATCATAGCTCCAGAACATCCCTGCAGGTGTTCCTCAGGTTAAGTCGTAGGCCCAACCATCTACAGCTGCTGCATCAATGACATTCCCTCCATCATAAAAGGTCAGAAGTGGGGGTTTTGCCAATGATTGTTTAGTGTTTAGTACCATTCATGACGACTTGGATACTGAAGCAATCCATGTCCAAATGCAACAAACCCTGGGCAATAACCAGGCTTAAGTTGAAAGTGGCAAGTAGGATTCATGCCACAAATGCCAGGCAATCTAACAACCACGTTTTAACATTCAGTTGAATTCCTCCCACACACAGACTTGCACGCATGTGCGCGCACACGCACGGGACACAGTGGCCTGCCTGATGGGATCCGCATCCCCACACATTCATTTGCTCCACCACAGACACAGCATGCTTGTTTACTATGTACAACCTGCACTGCAGAAATTCCCCAAAGCTCCTTAGTTCAACACCTTCCCAACCCACGACTACTTCCATCTAGAAGGATAAGGGCAGCAGATAACATGGGAACACCACCTGCAAGTACCCTCCAAGCTGCTCACCACCCTAACTTGGAAATATATTGCCATTTCTTCACTTTCACTGGGTCAAAATCATGGCATTCCCTTAAGGGTATTGTGGGTCCTCCTATAACCATGATGGCAGCAGTTCAGAAAGCAGCTCATGACTGCCTTATGAAGGGTAACTGGGGACAAGCAATAAATGCTATCCCAGCCAGCGATGCCCACGTTCCACGAGAGAATTTTAAAAAAACATACGTGCCTGAGCACTAGCCAGTGATGCCACTTTTTTGTAATGGTCATTGTGCCTTTTGTCCACTTAAATGTGTCCTTTGCACAGAGAGAAACTGACTTCCTGGAGAGAAACAGGGTTTTGTTTTTATGGGGTGAGTTTTGCAAGCAAAAAGAGAAAATGGTTATAGGTTAGGATTCAGTTGGAATGTTCTGGAGTTGTTTTGTAGCTTCTTTGAAGTGCCTGTAATTGGGAGAGCTTTTTGGTTTCAGTTTGGCGGTTTTGCAGAAGTCTAGGCTGAAGCTGGGTGTGGAAAAGGGTTCCTAAAGGGAGATAGTTTATAACTGTTAAAGTACCTCACTAAAGAAGTTTTAGTCTGAATGTTCCAGACCAGAAGTGATTGATTAAAACCTAAAAGTTTAAGTTGAAGCTGAGCCCATGTAAGTTTTTTCCCTGAATCTTACAATTGAGCTATCAGTCTCAATAGGATTTGAAGCCACAGATGGGTTAATCCCTTTGAATGTGATAGAGATTAGAATTCTCTGGTTTGAGTACAATAAGGGAATGTTGTTGAGATTAGTGGGGTTTTTACTATATTTTATGATCTTTAAACTTGTTATAAGTAGTTTGGTTTATTCTATTTTATTATGCAAATGAATCAACTTGTTCTATTTAAAAACTAAATCTGCAGCAGTGTATACTTGTATTTTAGGGAAACCACTATCTTGTTGAAACCTTAAGAATGCAATCCATAATGCCAAATATGTTTAACAGATTTAACCATGTGATCAAATGTTTTTTACAAATCTATAATGATTCCAATAGAACTGTTTGAATTAATTACAGCTACAACAAGAGATATTTCTACCAAATAAACACAAAATGAGAACATAATGCAGTTTTTATGTGCGTGTTCATGTTTTTTTATATCTTGGATGTTCAGTTAGCTTGTGACATTAATGTTTTTATTCTGAATGAGAACCTTGGATAAAAATTAACTTTGGATAATTGTGGCTTAGGAGTGTAGAGAACAAGCAGATCCACAGTCTGTGATTAAAATGAAACAACACTGTCAAAGGCTGCCCGTAGGGTTTGTATGGAAGATTGAAATGTTACAACTTGAAACAGTGGGCATGAAGGCACATCAAAATAAAATTAGTCTGGTACTTAAAATGTGACATGAGGCTCAGAGTCCTTGTTGCTCTCTGCAGAAACATGTTTATTTTTAATACTTCATATTTCATTTATTGGAGAAATGGGAGTATTAATTTCTCTTCCTGAAAATTGAAAAGCAACTGAAAATCTCATTTTGAAGTGCAACAGCTAGCAGAGCATGCAGCTTTTTTTTGAAATTTGTTTCTATGATTGGAATTTTGCATTTATTCACTTAAATGTCATCGTTAGATCATTTTTACAGCTGTAGAATCAAGGACAATGGTTTTCATAATATTTTTCACAACTTAAACCACTTAGACTAACTCTCGTGGATCCTGCTTGTTCCCCATATCCTTAAATAATTGTGTTTTCAAACGGGTACGTAATGCCACTTCCCAAAAATTATCCTTTGTTCTAATATTATGAAACTTTCCACAGAAATTTTATCTAAAGTGAAAGAAATCGCTTCCCCTGACTGGGTTCCTCCACCTGAAGCAACTATTGTCTTGACGGAAGATAATTTTGATGATGTGATTAATAAAGCTGATATCATCCTAGTTGAGTTTTACGCTCCTTGGTCAGTATGCAAGCTTTTGTTTTTAACTAATGTATCTGAAAATTTGAGTGCTACCATTTTTAAAAGTGTGCCACAAAGCAGTGGATATAGTGAAATAATGCCTTATTGTATGTCTGCAGAATAATATGTGAAGTTATGCAATTTTGAAAGAAATACTACCTTACAAAGCTTTCAAAAAGAAATGTGTGTACGTTTTAATCCATAGCTTGCACTTCTATTATGGCTTTATACATAATGCCAGTTGTGTTGTCTTTGTTACAGGTGTGGACACTGTAAAAAGCTTGCTCCACAGTACGAGGAAGCTGCTCAGGAACTTAGCAAGCGTCCTGTGCCGATTTTACTTGCTAAAGTAGATGCTACTACTGAAACAAAACTTGCTAATAAGTATCAGGTTACTGGCTATCCTACCCTGAAAATTTTCCGCAAGGGTAAACCCTCTGAATATAATGGACCAAGGGATACTTATGGTAATATAGCATTTTGATTGTCTGTTTAAACCTGGTTCTTTGAAGTAGTGACACTGTCTAATGTGTTTGTTATTTTTAAAAGCAGATGTTGAAATGAAGCTGTGCCTAATGCTTAGTGTTGAGCAGGGCCATTGTTATGGGATGTTCTATGAAAGGCCATAAATATTCATTCCAGCTCCCAGTTTTACATTGCAGCCGATTATGAACATAAACAAGTTGTCCTCAAAACCCTGGAAAAGTATGTCAATGTACAGTGTCAAAAGTTTCTGCCCTTTGTGTTCTTCTATTTCCTTGAACACATAAAAAGATATGACTAGAGAAATGTAAACATGGAAATTCAGCAAACAGCTTGAACAAATAATGTCCTATATGATCACTAAAACAAGTTTCGTGGGATTCAGTAATATATTGGCATGGATTGAAACTTCAGTAATGCAGAGATAGCAGTTGGTTTAAAGGGAATTTTTTTCAAGTTTGACAGGCTGTAACCAAAAAGTTACTGCAAAAATCTATAGTTGGGCCACAGCAGTTTACAGATTTTGTTTACAAACTTGTATGAAGGATTCTGTTTTGCTGTCTTGCCTTGATTCTATCCAAGCTTGTTCCCTCTTTCCCATCCCTGTTGAATTCCGTGGAAGTCTGCCTTACTAGCCTAATTATGCGATCCAGTATGGTTCAGGTGTAGATCTCATTTTACACAGTGCTGATGCCAGCATTTCATAATCATTATCCCCTTCTCCCACACCAGTCTTTGAATGACACATACTTCTCAAATCATCTTTGCCCTATGTCAGTTTGCAAGTGGCTTAGTTAGTAATCCAGAGATCATACTGCCTTTGAACTTAACAGCCAGTTTCTCACTGTTTCCTAGTTTTACCTCTGGTACTGACATGGACCATAACCACACGATCCACCACCACAACCATCCCCCAACACCACCACCACACTGCAAGTTGTATAGCCCAGATATCCTGATCCTTGGGACTGGGCAGACAGCCACAGCCAATTAGACTTTGTGCTGTTTCCTCACTATACTGTGCCCAGTAGTCATCAGTTAGCTCGCTTACCCCATAATCCTTGCTCTCATCCAAACAAGCTGGAGAAACCTAAGCCTCAAACCTGTGAGACTGCTCTTGATCTCCCCTCACCTGACTCACTAGCAGTCATGTAGCCCTGTTTTTGACTCTTCACCAAATCAGATTATCCTCTCCCCGGTCATGTCACTGCCTCCTGGAATAGCATCTAGATTTCTTTCCTTTTTCCTGGTGTGCCACAACATCTACGGCTAGGTCTCCTGCCCACTCACTGAGCCAAAGCTCCTGTAGCTGCAGGCAGCCTTCCTTTTTAAAAGTCATGTTGAATGCCCTTGATTAATCCATACCCCACTAAGTGATGATTTGTTTCATACCTCAAACCTTTTCCAATAATTTTATCTACCACCAGGTTTAGGCCAACTGGCATGTAACTACTATAAGGGTTATTCCTCATTTCAAACAATAGTACAACATAGGCATGGTGCCAGAGGACCAATCACCATACCAAAATGGTGGTCAGAGTCTCTAAGGTAATCTGGGCTGCCTTTTTCATTTAGCTTAATGGTTTATTCCATTTTCAGGGTTGTCGAGCACATCTGTATTTTATCTCTTGTGTCTATTCCATCCCATTGTGTTGTTCCTCCGCTACAACACTTGTGCTTTCTTCCACCACCACCACCACCGGAAGGAGATTCAAAATCCATGATAGGAAAATGACGACTGTTAATTGCAACTGATAGTATGCAGCTGGTGGGTTTTAACCAAGGACTCCCTTGTGTACCTGTGAATTAAAAACCCACTGAAATGCTGGGTTATGCGGTGTTATGTTTTCATCGCCCCAGAAGTAAAGTACATGTGATTCCAAAACTATCCTTCAGTACCTGGTATGGTGGAATATAACAGTATCTGAATTTTCAACCTTCACACACCAATTACCTTTTTTGTCTCTGAAAAGCTGCTTTTTAAGATATGCTTTTTTGGAGCTTTATGTATTTGTAGACCACTTTTTCGTTTTCTCTTTATTATTTGTAAATATTTTGTCAAACCTTTTATCTTTGGTAATTTTCTTTTTCATTTCACCCTTTTGCTGTTACCTCCTTTTTGCGTTCTGCAGTACTGTGTCCTGGGATCTGACACTTCTTTTTTTCTTTGCTTATCCTACGTTGTATGCTCATTTGATAGCTGACGGGGCTGGTCTAACTTTTGAGTCCCATCCTGTTTACTGATATGTATTCTGAAGCCCTTCGAACTCTTCCTCTTTAATGCCACCTGCTGCTCTGACACTTTTACCATCAAGGAGTTGTTTGCAGTCTACTTTTGCAAAATCGCATCCCAGCTTGGTAGAAATTTCTGTTTACTCCTCTCAAAATGGGTAGAAATGTGATGTTTCCCATAATAGTGCTATCAAACTATCCCCTTTCACCTGTCCAAATTGCCTAAAGCCAAGCCTAGAACCGTGTCTTCTCTTGGTTTACTACAGACTAGCCTTTTTTTTTTTAAAAAATGATTTGTGTACAGCAGTTTAAGCATTTACTGAGTTCCGCTTTCTATTGACTTGCTAAAATGTTCATTTTTGTGAGGTTATACATAGTATTCTGCCAAAGAAATGTTTTCTTACACTTTTTTTTTAACATGTGAATTGTGCTATAAAAGATGTCAGTATCCCTTGTGAGGAAAGAGTTTGTTGAAAGAGTTAGAATACCATGTAGCGTGAGCTCTGTAAATTATGGTACATGTTATTGTCTTAAGTTATGCTTTGCACTTTTATTTACTTAGGTATTATTGAATATATGATTGAGCAGTCTGGCCCACCATCCAAACAAATACAAGCTCTTAAACAAGTTCAAGAATTCCTTAAGGATGGTGATGATGTTATAATTATAGGGATTTTTAATAGTGAACAAGATCCAGCTTATAACATTTATCAAGATGCTGGTAAGTAATTTATAATGCTGTACTAGGTAATCATACAGCCCGTGGATTTAGCCTCTCGCATAATTCATGTATCCAGTTTGGAAGTTCTATTTTGATCCTTATGCAGAGTAAGCTTCAAAGCTGCTGTCTTCCCACAAGTTCATTGGTTCAGTCTGCCATTGCTTTTTGTATTTTAAAACATGTCTCTTGTATTTGAACCAGATGTGATTTTTATGCAGCCTCATCAGCACATTAGTATGCCTTCTTTTAAAACAAACATCAATTTTCATAATATTAGTAAGACCTCCAGTGTCAACAGTTATGAGATAAATAGGCAGAGGGCTAAAATTTCAAGAGTGGCTTCCATGCTGCCCAACTCCAAAAAAAAATCCTACTGGAGATTGATTCTATAGATTTGAACTTGTTTTCAGCTGTCCAGTGAATATTTTGTAATGAAGGTTGTCATTGGAGCCGTCTAACAGAAATCCATAACCAAGAGGCTTCAGGTGATTACAAGAAAATGCATTACTCGCAAATCAAATTTGGAATATTAATTCTGCTTATTTTTAACAAAAAGGGACTCTGTGATCAAAATAACTTTCTTGCCTCTGGCCATTGATATTTTAACAACAGGTATAATGAGTGGCTAGTCATATTCTTGCAGTGAACATCATGAGGTCTGTTAGGATGCATGTGTAATAACTTTTTTTTTAATTTTTAGGTAACTCTATCAGAGAAGACTACAGGTTACATCACACCTTCAACAATGAAATACAAAAATTCTTAAAAGCATCACCAGGACAGCTACTTATGATGCAACCTGAAAAATTTAATTCTGCATATGAGCCCAAAGTGCATACCTTGACGATCAAAGTACGTTCTTTCCTCTGATTTGCTGCCTGTCACAGTCCTTGATTTGTGCCATGAACACCAGTTCTAGATATTAAGTTCCTAATGCTCCAAGCTGCCCACATCCTCCCGTATGACAAAGAGGACATGTTAAATGCTATGATATGCACTTTTCTAGTTGGAGGTGACTGTAGAATCCCACAGTTGAGATTTTCTGCTTTTAAATCAGTGTCTCAAGATTAAATACTGTCTTCACTCTTTCACATTTGCCCCATCTTAAAATTTCTTCCAAGAATTTAATTGGAATATTAATCTTGTTTTGTTGCCTTATGAATTAAATTTCCATTTATGCAAATTCTATTCACACATTATCATTGCAGGACTCGTCAGCTCCTTCAGAAGTGACAGATTTTATTACAAGTAATGCTTTGCCTTTAGTTGGGCATCGTAAGCAAAGCAACGATGCAAAAAGATACAGCAAGCGCCCGTTGGTGGTGGTGTACTATGGCGTAGACTTCAGTTTTGATTATCGTGTGGGTAAGTGTTGTGCACAGCATTCTAAAACAAATCTAGAAGTAACTTTGGTTTTTAATGCTACTCAATATACATCATATTCCAAATACTCAAAATTCTTACAAGTAGCAATCAGTTTGATACGATAGAATCATGCAGTACAGAAGTGGCCCTTCAACCAATTAAGTCTGCATCAACAAAAATTGACTGCCCATTTTCCACTACTTGACCGATGGTCTTGAATGTTATGAGATATCAGGTGTTCATCTAATTCTTCCCTTTTGTTTTGTAAAGGAGCTGAGGTTTTCTGCTACTGCTACCCTTGGGAGTATTCTGAAATGTCACCACCCTCTGGATGAAAAATAATTCCTTAAATCCTCTCTACATCTCCTGCATTTCACCTTTAAAATTATGCCCCCTTGTTGTTGACCCGTTACTAAGGGGAGATAGGGAGGATAGAAAGCAGGTATCTATGCTCTCAATCTTGTACACTTCAATCAGGTCCCCTCTCGGCCTTCTCTGCTCCAAAGAAAACAGTCGGAGTTTATCCAGCTTTTGTGATCTAATCAAAGTCCCATGAAGCTCTAAAATAACCTCTGCTGTTATAGTCTGTGCCGTGACTGACTAAAGGCAAATGTCCCGTATACTGCCTTAACCATCCCACTAACTTGATTTCCTGTCTGCTAGGCTCTGTGGCCAAGTACTCCAAAATCTCTCTGTTCAGTGAACTTCCTAGTGTCCTGCCATTTATTGAGTGCTCCATCTTGTTACTACTTCCAAATTGCATCACCTCTTTTTTTTTTTTTTCTTCCCAAGTTTAAGTTCCATCTGCCACTGATTTGACCAATCCCAACTATAACCTCCTGTAATCAAAGTCCTTCTTCCTTACCATCAATCATCCCACCATCTTCATGTCACTTGCAAACCAACTTATCTCCTTCTATCATTTTATATATATATTGTAAACAATAAGGAACTCAGTGCTGGTCCCTGTAGCCACTGAATGCAAACCTACAGTCACATAATAACCTTCTACCACCACCTCTGTCTCCTATCACCTAAGCCAATTGGATCCATTTTGTCAAGTTACCGTGGATTCCATGTGCTTTCATTGTCCTTGTCAGTCTCCCCGTGTGGGACCTTATCAAAGGCATTGCTGAAATCCATACAAATTACATCAACTGCACTACCCTCATCTACACCCATTTGGTCACCACCTCCTCAAAAAAAAAAGTAGAATTTGTTAGGCATGACCTTCCTCTGACAAAGCCATCTGACTATCCCTGATTAAATTTTCCCTCTCCAAGTGGAGATTAATTCTCTCCTTTAGCGTCTTCTCCAATACTTCCCCTACCATTGTTCAGATACTCACCGGTCTGAAAATCTGTGGTTTTTCTCTACTAGCCTGTTAAAACGTGAACCATGTTAACTGTCCTCCACCTCCTATGTGACCAGACAGGAATTAAAATTTTGCATTGTAAGTCAAACTGCTCAAGGACCTCAGCCTCCCTTCTTGAATTCTGTACCTGCGTCCCCACTTCTGCCAAGTAAAGACAGAAGTGAAGTGCTTGTTTTAAAAACCCTACTTGTATCCTACAGCTCCTAGCACATAGAGTCCTGGTTATCCTGTTACCCTTGATTAGTCTTTAGTCTTGCTAGTAATTTTTAATGCCCCCTCTTTGTTCTCATTGCTTTCTTAAATTACCCCCCTGTACTTTGAAAGCTCAACTAGGGCCTCTATTGAATTGGTACCTTTTGTACACATTAAATAAACACTCTGTCTTCCTTATCCAGTTCTGAATGGTCCTAAACATCCAGAGTTTTCTTGTTGCTCTTTATTGGGAAATGTGGAGGTTGTTTGGGGAGCACTTGCTACGAGTGCTGGATAGGTTTGTCCCACTGAGGCAGGGAAGGGATGGTAAGGTGAAGGAACCTTGG